TCTTAAGATTGTCCTAAGATACGTCATAGTAATATTATTATAAGGAAATATTGTTTAGAGGATTATACGCTATCATCGCCGACACGACGACGTCGTGGTGTTTTTTTATGTGCTGATCGATTTTTTAAAAACAAATCGTTGTATACGTTAACACGTCACCGGTCTTGTGCAAGTACTTATATACTTGGAACTATATACACAGGTCTACATATAAGTCTGCGCGGTGTCTGGCTGACAAAATATATTATGTGTTATTGGATCACGTGTGCCGCGGTGTGCTCACCCGCCGTCAATCGTCGCTCAAGTCAATTATTTTTCAAGACGGTATACTTACAAGTCAATCCGTCAAACCGGAGGTCTCCGGTTTCGGTAAACGTTACTATATTGCCAACACGTGTTGTGATTCACAACCGCCTTGGGTAAACCGAAAAGTAGTGAGACCGGTGCCCTTGGGTCGTTTTAGTCGGTGCTGTAGTTTATTGAGGTACTGGAGTTTATTTTTTTTAATTTAACTCAATTATTCCAAAATTAGTTGGCGACAGAAAAATTTTTTTTCATTTTTTCCCCTCAAATCGTCTACATAATAAGTAGTATGACCGGTCGGAGTCCTATTTTGGTTTTGGCGCCCAATTTCCAAAATCAAACGCAATAATCATAATAATTATCACTGTAGTGCACCGGTCGGATGACCGCGTACAAAACACCGTAAACGACCAACATTTGTAACGGAAAACTAGGAGTAGGTTTCAATAAGTAGAACACTTTTTAGTTAATTGTAATATATAAAACCATCAAGCTTAGCGGGCCTTTTAAGGCCCAATGCTGCCATCAAGATGGTTTCTTGACGAATTCGCTTCCGGGACGGGTCGTCAATCCGTCACCGGAGGAGGGGGATGGCGGTTCCTTTTTACCGGACGATTGCTCGCCCAGCAAACGGAGTGCCTGTGACCGGGTGTCAAACCGGCGACAGTAAGCGCTAACACACTGCCACCTTACCCACTCGGCCACTCCTCCTCTAATTGTAATATACCGGGTGATTGGTTAACTATGGACTACTCAATATCTTAGAAGATATTAGACTTTTTTAATTTTTTTTTTTTGTACTATTATAGTTATTAGGTGGGACAAATTTAATGTATTTTTCAAAATTTTAACACCATCCCTTATGCGTTAAAACCATATCAACTTTAGATTTTTAAATGGTAACCCCCAATTTTTTTTTGATGATCGTGTTTATTTTTTTTAAATTTAATTTTAGGCGTAAAAACTAGCTAAATCAGACAAGTACTTTTAAAGTTATAGCTTTGTACTACAATATTATAATATTAGCTTATATGAGATGCTTTTATAAGTTTTACAGCTAAAGAAAAAAATCGTTTATCGCCGGATCTCACGTTTCACAAAATAAGATTGATTAACGATACGGTTGTAGATTAAAGTTAATAGTTGACGGTCGTCGGTCACAATGAAAACGAACTAATAATAAATCTATAACAATATTATATGGGTAATGTCTTCTTATCTGTTTTTTCTGTAGTGTTCCTAGCGGTGCGGTGTACCTGTACGTATTGAATATTAGGCATTAGCTGCTGTTAACAAACAATATTATAAGCCCTAGTAAATAGTTTTTTTTCAATTTCAACCATAGGTTACCGTGGTCTAATCACGGTCTTATATAGAGTATATACCGTGGTTCTACCAAAACAATTCGTTACTAGCGTAGATTAATATCAACACAGAACAAATTATTATAAAAATACGACTACTTGAAAACTAATCAAAAAGTTCATTATTCTAATTTTTCAATTATTATGGTTATTTAGCGTCTTGGTTTTTACTTTAAATATTTAGCGTCTTGGTCTTAATAAGTATTACTTGTACTGGTGTCTTAACTAGTCAAATTATTAATTCTGTTAGTGAAAATATTTTTAAAAAAACTAATAAATAACATTTAATTTTTTGTTTTTTTAGTATAATATTGTATTACATACAGTTAATAGATAATATGTACAGAATATATACAGAAATAAACAAAAACTAAATTTAATATGTACAGAAACTATTTTAGCATTTTTGTTCGAACTGGTTTATGATAGGTACATAAGATGTCAAACAACATCTTTATAAGGCATCTATTGTGCTTATTAAAATGTTTAGATAACAAAGGATTCCATGATAAATACGTTCATCCAATACTTGTGCACTAAAATAAATTTTCATTTTTATAATTTAAAGTTGTAACCCGTCAATTTTAACTATTTCTAGTTCAGTATTTTTAATTATTAAAAGCTGTATTTATTTATTAACTCTTTATTATATTACCACCTTAAGCCTATACTGTATATATTTCATAGTATTGACTATTCTTACTTATCTTAATGTGTTCATATGAACAGTAAAAGTATGTTTCTTATTTAATAAATGGTTGTTTTTCTCGTTGTACGAGGTATAACCAAAAATTTAGAGTGAATGATAAAGTACAATTTTGTTTGTTTTTGTACGGCTTTTTTAACAGTCATAAGCATAAAATTCAATAATAATATTACTAACAAACATTTAAATACTATATTATGTTATGTTTATTATGATAATAGTAAAATAAAAAAACAAGTAACAAGATAAATAATACGCTTATAAGATACGAATAAACATTTTTATTTGCTAAATCATATTAAAAAACTAAGACTAAATAAAATTAACATATCTATAATTAACTTGTAAATAATAGAGGTACAACATATTGCTGTATATAGTGATGTAGTTATAGGAAGTTACCTAGGGCGGTAAAGTTTGTTTGATGATTTCCCACTAGAAGAAATCCATCTCCATTTACATATTTAAGTTAAAAAATATTTATAAGTATATTCATTCAATTTACTTTTTTACACTTAATCCAATAGTTAACATTTTTTTTTCTTTCTATTTTGTGTTTTATAATTTTATTTACTTTATTACTTATAAAAACTTAATCGTAAACCACTAGAAAATTGTCAATAAATTCTGTAATAGCTAATGCCAAAACTATGCCATCATGAAAATAATTTCAAGATTTGGATTAAGACAATAACATATTTTAGAAATATTAACATTCTCAGCAGCATTTTAGATTAAATTAATATTAAATAAAGAATTCATCATTAATAATTAATAAATAATGTTTAATTGTTGAGGCTATAACAGGTAATGGAGCGCAATTCTATGCCGGTTATCGCCAATGATACAGATGCCCTCTTATCTTGGTTGTCGCGGCCGTCCACACCACTCCGCCTTACTCCGCACGATCTATACTGGCATTACTACCGGTCAGCTGTTCACACACACACACACACACACATATACGCACCGGGTTATACTATGTAAACAAATGTGCCACGCCCGTATTACCAGTGTTAGTAGTGCACTTGTTGCATTCTTGAATTTAAAGTATAATATTAATCTAGACTTTTTTGTGTGTTTTTCTTCAGTGTTTTTTAGTTTTAAGTGTTATTATAGTATTTTTAAGCCATAAGGGCACTGTGATTTTTTATTATTATTGTCTTAAGGACAAAAGATTGTTTTTTATTGTATTTTTAAGCCATAAGGGCATTATTGAGTTGTCATAAGGACAAAAAATTGTTTATTATTGTATTTTTAAGCCATAAGGGCATTATTGAGTTGTCATAAGGACAAAAAAAACTATTTTAATATTTTTGTTTTGTTGTTCACTTTACTTTGTGTCTAGTATTATTTAGGTTTAGGTAGCAGCCCTGGCCAGCGGTTTGCAGTTCTTCGGTTTGTGAGTACCTTTTATTTATACCATATTTTATTGAGTTTGTTTTATTTGTATTTTAGTTAACTACTGTGAATTATTAGAACATATTTTGATCTCATTTACTAAATACAAGTTAGGGCGATAGACATAAGGTTAATCGTACCTTCTATATTGCTAGTTAGCCATAAGGGTTCAATCTAGTCAATATTTGTATTTGTGAATAATTTTTGTTGTTCTAATAACCACCTTAGTTATCAAAATACTTTTAACGTCATAAGCTTTAAGCACTCACTTAACCTTACCTTTTAATCTAGTCATTACTATATTAATTATTTATTTGTGTTTGTGAATTATTATTCACAGACCAGATTAATTTATTATTGTGCCAAAAGGGCAATTAATTTCTTTTTAGTTTACCAATCTTTTTTTTATACTAATTATTTATTTGTGTTTGTGAATTATTATTCACAGACCAGATTAATTTATTATTGTGCCAAAAGGGCAATTAATTTCTTTTTAGTTTACCAATCTTTTTTTTATACTAATTATTTATTTGTGTTTGTGAATTTTATTCACAATTGTATCTTGAGCCAAAAGGGCTAATTATTTATTTATTACCATTTGTTATAGCATTTTATTGAATATTATTATTATTGTTATTATCATCGAGTTTGAGTTTTATTTATTTAGTTTTTAGTTATAGTTTTAAGTTTCCTACACATCCACACTATACACACTAAACACACTTTTGCACCACATAGCTCACTGGTCTTGTGTAGGCGATCCCTCACACTTCCAGTGAGACTATTTACCCCACTACCCACACAGCACTGATCGGTAAGTGTAAAGTAGTTGGTAACCGGGTAAGTGGCCTACTATTGTCCGCCCCCGGCCCGTTCATTTTGGTGACCTCGACGTGATATTTTTTATTTTTTATACCGTTCTAGTGTTCTGTGTTTTGTTGTTCAATTTTGAATTTTATTTTGTGTGTTGAATCATTTCTATTGAGTTATTTTGTGAATTTTAGTAAACTCTTGGAAACGCGTTACCAAATTTAATAGTGTTTTTAATTAAATTTCTTTAGTAAATAAAAAAGTAATAGTAAAATTGAGTGATTTAATTTGAGACTGAGTAACTAACCAATTTGGGTACTTCAATTTCGTTATTATTTTATATTATTTTTTTGTCTTATTTGGTATTTAAAATCTGTGTTTTTCGATATTATTCTGCTTCGTTCTAATTCATCAAAATGGTACTAGACGAAAACGCACAAAAACTGTTGACAGAATTAAAACGAAAACGAGGCGTTGTTAAAGCTTCACTTACGCGCGTTCGAACATTTATTTCAAAATTCGATCCATCCGAACAAGCTTTATCACTACTGGAGTTCAGACAGGAAGAGCTTCCTCAAATAAATCGTAAGTTTGATGGTATTCAATGCGAAATTGAACTTATTGATTCTGATGACACTGAAGAAGCTGAGTTGGAAAGGGATAGATTTGAAAGTGAATATTTTGCAATACGATCACAAATCCAAGAAATTATCAATCAAGAAAAGGGATTAAATACAACGGGCCACAATCAATCGTACGGTGGCACATACGTTCCGGCTCGAGTTCAATTAGCGCCAATTCCTTTACCCAAGTTTGACGGCGATATTCAAAAGTGGTCGTCCTTTTATGACGTCTTTAAAGCTATGGTGCACAATGATGACGCATACTCAGTTGCTCAAAAGTTCTTCTATCTGCGTTCGTGTTTAGAAGGATCAGCATTGGATTTAGTGCGCTCAATTCCTGTTAGTGACGCCAATTACGAAACTGTTGTCAGGCGGTTAATACAAAGATTTGACAATCAAAGCCTGGTGATACAGTCACATATTCAGTCCATACTCGACTGTCCTCAAGTCGAAGAAGCATCCTCTGAGACAATAAACGAATTATACTCCTGTGTATGTACTCAGGTTGCAGCTCTTAAGGCGTTAAATCAACCAGTTGAGCATTGGGACGCATGGTTGATATTAATTGTAACTAGCCGTTTGGATAAGGGGACCGCCCATTCATGGCTGCTGCACCAGAAAAACACTAAATTGCCAAAATATTCGGACCTCGAAACATTTCTTGCTAGTCGATGTGTCGCATTAGAAGCTTCAAGGACCCGATCTAAGCCTACGGGGGGAGCGTCAACGATCTCCAACGTTAAGAAGAGCAATTTGGTGCCAAAAAGGTCCTTGGTAGTTTCCAGTGCAACAGAATCATGTCATTGCTGTTCTGGAAATCACAAGCTGTATTTTTGTGACAAGTTCAAGGGATTTTCATTAGCTGAGCGTCTCTCATTCGTGCGAAAAGAATCACTCTGTTTCAATTGCCTATCACCTAGACACTTATCTAATGCATGCAAGTCAATTTATACTTGTCGTTATTGCAAACGAAGCCATAACACATTGTTGCATTTTGAAAAGCCCGAAGATGTGGCCAAGCCTAAGGCGGACGATGGTACGGTTTCCTCTCCAAATCAAAGCACTGCACTCTTAGCTGGTGATGGCCGAGCTCATGTTTTTCTTGCTACCGCTGTCATTATAGTTCTTGACAAATTTGGAAATAAATGCCAATGTCGAGTTATACTCGACAGTGGCTCACAAATTAATTTCATATCTAAAAGATTGGCAACCTTGCTACAATTACCGGCAAGAAAGACCTGTTTACCAATAAGTGGAATAGGCGCAAAGCAAGTCCAAGCAGCATCGTCCATAAATATTAAGGTGTCATCTCGAGTAAGTGATTATGAAGTGGACCTACTTTGTTATGTATTACCAAATATTGTCTCCGCGTTACAATCATGTGCTGAACCTCAGGGAGGATGGAACATACCATCAGAGCTGATTCCACAACTGGCAGATCCAGATTTTGACAAACATCGGGCAGTTGATCTTCTGATAGGCGGTGGCATATTCTTTGATATTTTGGGCACTGAGCGACGGATGCTTCTGCCTGCAGCCTTGTGCTTGCAAGAGAGCCAATTTGGATGGGTAGTAACTGGTGAATTAGAGGCCACTTGTTTATTAGGGATCAACTCTGTGGGTGAAGCCCTTGAAGAAGATTGGAAGGCATTACTGCTAAGAGAGGATTCAGGTTATGGTCAGACATCTAAGTCAAACTTGAAGAGTTTAGAGGAGACAGAGACTGTTCAGCATTACCACGAAACTGCCATGCGAAACGAAAATGGACGTTTCGTTCTTCGTTTACCGGTCAAGGAAACCGTGCATAAATTGGGAAACAGTATAACAATGGCGACATCACGGTTCTTTAGTGTTGAAAGACGACTGCAACGCGATCAGCATTTGCGCACGGAATACATCAAGTTCATGCAAGAATATTTGGATATGGGACACATGAAATGCGTATCTAATGAAACAACAATCCCGGACAGATCATACTATTTACCACACCATGCAGTGCTGAAGACATCCAGTTTAACAACAAAACTTCGCGTAGTGTTTGACGCTTCAGCAAACAGTTCTTCCGGGTTATCTTTAAATGATGTACTTAAGCGTGGTCCAACAGTGCAAGAAGAGTTATTTGCTATTTTGGCCCGTTTTAGGAAATATCAATACGTGATAACATCAGACATTGAAAAGATGTTCAGACAGATTGAAATCTCAGAGCAAGACTGGGACCTACAACGAATTTTATGGAGAGCGGATCCCAGTAAGACTCTTCAGACCTATCGTTTAACTACTGTCACGTATGGGACAACACCTGCCTCATTTTTATCCACCCAATGCCTTATCAGTCTTGCAGAACAAAATGAGCAAACGTATCCCAGAGCATCAAGTGTCATAAGACAAGACTTCTACATGGACGACTTAATGACTGGCTGTGATACTGAAGCAGAATGTCTCCAATTGCAGCAAGAAGTAAGCACAATACTGGATTCTGCAAAAATGCCATTGCGTAAGTGGTGTTCTAACTCAGAGTCCGTGTTAAAAGGTATTGGAAAAAATGAACAAGACCCACTTTTCACACTGGATATTAGCGATGATGATACTGTCAAATCATTAGGGCTGGGTTGGAAACCATTCATTGATGACTTCCGATTCAATATAATTGCCATTTCTAGAGATACTAAACTAACTAAGCGGACACTGTTATCTCAGTTAAATAGGATATTTGATCCTCTAGGGTTTCTCTCACCAGTCCTCGTTAAAGGAAAAATATTTCTCAAACAACTATGGCAGCTGAAGGTTGACTGGGATTCGCCACTTCAAGAGGAATTGCAAAAACGATGGCGCCTTTATTACTCTGAGTTAGAAAAGCTTAAGGAATTATCTATTCCCCGAAAATGTATTTACAATGCTAACGCCTTAGTTGAGTTACATGGATTCTGTGACGCATCTATGGAAGCCTATGGTGCCTGCATTTATGTTCGTTCATTAGGCTATGACGGGAAATGGCATGCACAGCTTTTGTGTTCAAAGACTCGAGTTGCTCCACTTAAAGGAGTGACTATTCCTAGATTGGAGCTAAATGGAGCAGTACTGTTAGTGCAATTAGCATACAAGGTTGCAGAGTCATGGAAAATAGAGGTGCAATCATTTAAACTCTGGACAGATTCCATGATTGTACTCGGTTGGCTGAATAGTGATTCTAGTAGATTAAAGACATACGTGGCTAACAGAGTCGTTCAAATACTTGAGGTATCGACTGCGGAGCAATGGCGACATGTGAGAACCGATGAGAATCCTGCAGACGTTGTCTCTAGAGGTCTAAGGCCACAGGACTTAGTCGACAACAACATATGGTGGACGGGCCCGAGCTGGCTTTCGGAAGACGAGAGTGGTTGGCCACGTATCGCAAACGTAAGGATGGCAGAGGACGACGTGCCTGAACTGCGAACAATTCGGTTAGCTTTAACTGGCATGATAGTGCCAGAAATGGACATGCTACAACATCATTCGGAGTGGAGCCGATTAAAAAGAGCAACCGCTTGGCTCTGGCGCTTCATCGACTATCAATGGCCGCGATTCTCAAAGGTTGTTCATGAAACCAGTTATCTAACGGTGAGTGAGTTGCGAAGAGCCGAGTCTTCAATATTGAGAAGAGTTCAGACAGAGGCTTTTCCGGAGGAACTTCGAGCGCTACAAAACGGTAAGGAGTTGCCGACTCGGAGTAAGCTAAGATGTTTGCACCCATTTTTGAAGGATGGACTCATTCTGGTAGGAGGACGGTTGAAGAATGCCAACATACCTGATACGCAGAGACACCCTATTGTCTTACCACCTAGCCACAAGGTAACTCGATTGTTAATGGAGTATACACACAAGGAATTGCTGCACGGTGGTCCTCAAAGCATGCTGGCTGAAATGAGAAGGCGCTATTGGCCATTAAGAGGCCGGGTGATGGCACGCTCCGTGGCGCATAAGTGTGTAAGGTGCATACGCGTCAAGCCAACTATGCTACAACCAATTATGGCTCCATTACCACGGGATCGAGTTCAGTGCAGTAGGCCGTTTGCTATAAGTGGCGTAGATTTTGCGGGACCGCTCATCATTAGAAGTGGAGTACGCCGAGTAAGTGGCAGGAAAGCATGGATCGCAGTGTACGTTTGCTTCTCTACAAGAGCTGTCCACTTAGAGCCTGTGGAAGATCTCACGAGTAGTGCATTTATTGCTAGCCTGCGACGGTTCATGGCACGTCGAGGCAAGTGCACTAAAATCTACAGCGACAACGGCACGAATTTTGTGGGAGCACAAAAAGAGCTAAGTCCTTTTTTAGCTGGTATCGACGACAAGATGGCAAAAGAGGGAGTAGAGTGGCATTTCAACCCACCATCCGCCCCTCATTTCGGTGGTTTGTGGGAGAGCGCAGTAAAGACGACAAAGTTCCACTTAACACGCGTGATAAAGGATGCTCGTCTAACTTTAGGAGAGTTAACCACGTTGTTGTGCCAGGTGGAAGCGTGCGTTAACTCGCGGCCTATGACACCGCTTAACAGTGACCCTTCAGAAGCGGAAGCAATCACCCCAGCTCATTTCTTAATTGGTGGCCCAATGATGATACCACCAGAAGCGAACATACCCGAAGAGGACGTTCAACATCTACGTCGTTGGCGCTTTGTGCAAGGCTTAATGCAAAGCTTCTGGAGGCGATGGCATGCCGAATATCTACCACAACTTCAGGTGCGAGGCAAGTGGACTTACCAGAAAAAGGACCTAGTAGTTGGAGACGTGGTTATTATAAAAGAGGACTGTACTCCACCAACAAAGTGGAAGCTAGGACGAGTAGTGCAACTACACCCAGGGAAAGATGGCACAGTTCGAGTAGTCACATTAAAAACTGCCAATAATAATGAACTCCGTCGGCCCGCCGTAAAACTCTGTCGACTGCCAATCGAGTCAGAAGACAACCAAGATGAATAGTATTGTGGTTGAAACTTAAGGTTTCAACGGGGGGAGGATGTTGAGGCTATAACAGGTAATGGAGCGCAATTCTATGCCGGTTATCGCCAATGATACAGATGCCCTCTTATCTTGGTTGTCGCGGCCGTCCACACCACTCCGCCTTACTCCGCACGATCTATACTGGCATTACTACCGGTCAGCTGTTCACACACACACACACACACACATATACGCACCGGGTTATACTATGTAAACAAATGTGCCACGCCCGTATTACCAGTGTTAGTAGTGCACTTGTTGCATTCTTGAATTTAAAGTATAATATTAATCTAGACTTTTTTGTGTGTTTTTCTTCAGTGTTTTTTAGTTTTAAGTGTTATTATAGTATTTTTAAGCCATAAGGGCACTGTGATTTTTTATTATTATTGTCTTAAGGACAAAAGATTGTTTTTTATTGTATTTTTAAGCCATAAGGGCATTATTGAGTTGTCATAAGGACAAAAAAAACTATTTTAATATTTTTGTTTTGTTGTTCACTTTACTTTGTGTCTAGTATTATTTAGGTTTAGGTAGCAGCCCTGGCCAGCGGTTTGCAGTTCTTCGGTTTGTGAGTACCTTTTATTTATACCATATTTTATTGAGTTTGTTTTATTTGTATTTTAGTTAACTACTGTGAATTATTAGAACATATTTTGATCTCATTTACTAAATACAAGTTAGGGCGATAGACATAAGGTTAATCGTACCTTCTATATTGCTAGTTAGCCATAAGGGTTCAATCTAGTCAATATTTGTATTTGTGAATAATTTTTGTTGTTCTAATAACCACCTTAGTTATCAAAATACTTTTAACGTCATAAGCTTTAAGCACTCACTTAACCTTACCTTTTAATCTAGTCATTACTATATTAATTATTTATTTGTGTTTGTGAATTATTATTCACAGACCAGATTAATTTATTATTGTGCCAAAAGGGCAATTAATTTCTTTTTAGTTTACCAATCTTTTTTTTATACTAATTATTTATTTGTGTTTGTGAATTATTATTCACAGACCAGATTAATTTATTATTGTGCCAAAAGGGCAATTAATTTCTTTTTAGTTTACCAATCTTTTTTTTATACTAATTATTTATTTGTGTTTGTGAATTTTATTCACAATTGTATCTTGAGCCAAAAGGGCTAATTATTTATTTATTACCATTTGTTATAGCATTTTATTGAATATTATTATTATTGTTATTATCATCGAGTTTGAGTTTTATTTATTTAGTTTTTAGTTATAGTTTTAAGTTTCCTACACATCCACACTATACACACTAAACACACTTTTGCACCACATAGCTCACTGGTCTTGTGTAGGCGATCCCTCACACTTCCAGTGAGACTATTTACCCCACTACCCACACAGCACTGATCGGTAAGTGTAAAGTAGTTGGTAACCGGGTAAGTGGCCTACTATTGTCCGCCCCCGGCCCGTTCATTTTGGTGACCTCGACGTGATATTTTTTATTTTTTATACCGTTCTAGTGTTCTGTGTTTTGTTGTTCAATTTTGAATTTTATTTTGTGTGTTGAATCATTTCTATTGAGTTATTTTGTGAATTTTAGTAAACTCTTGGAAACGCGTTACCAAATTTAATAGTGTTTTTAATTAAATTTCTTTAGTAAATAAAAAAGTAATAGTAAAATTGAGTGATTTAATTTGAGACTGAGTAACTAACCAATTTGGGTACTTCAATTTCGTTATTATTTTATATTATTTTTTTGTCTTATTTGGTATTTAAAATCTGTGTTTTTCGATATTATTCTGCTTCGTTCTAATTCATCAAAATGGTACTAGACGAAAACGCACAAAAACTGTTGACAGAATTAAAACGAAAACGAGGCGTTGTTAAAGCTTCACTTACGCGCGTTCGAACATTTATTTCAAAATTCGATCCATCCGAACAAGCTTTATCACTACTGGAGTTCAGACAGGAAGAGCTTCCTCAAATAAATCGTAAGTTTGATGGTATTCAATGCGAAATTGAACTTATTGATTCTGATGACACTGAAGAAGCTGAGTTGGAAAGGGATAGATTTGAAAGTGAATATTTTGCAATACGATCACAAATCCAAGAAATTATCAATCAAGAAAAGGGATTAAATACAACGGGCCACAATCAATCGTACGGTGGCACATACGTTCCGGCTCGAGTTCAATTAGCGCCAATTCCTTTACCCAAGTTTGACGGCGATATTCAAAAGTGGTCGTCCTTTTATGACGTCTTTAAAGCTATGGTGCACAATGATGACGCATACTCAGTTGCTCAAAAGTTCTTCTATCTGCGTTCGTGTTTAGAAGGATCAGCATTGGATTTAGTGCGCTCAATTCCTGTTAGTGACGCCAATTACGAAACTGTTGTCAGGCGGTTAATACAAAGATTTGACAATCAAAGCCTGGTGATTATTATTCACAGACCAGATTAATTTATTATTGTGCCAAAAGGGCAATTAATTTCTTTTTAGTTTACCAATCTTTTTTTTATACTAATTATTTATTTGTGTTTGTGAATTTTATTCACAATTGTATCTTGAGCCAAAAGGGCTAATTATTTATTTATTACCATTTGTTATAGCATTTTATTGAATATTATTATTATTGTTATTATCATCGAGTTTGAGTTTTATTTATTTAGTTTTTAGTTATAGTTTTAAGTTTCCTACACATCCACACTATACACACTAAACACACTTTTGCACCACATAGCTCACTGGTCTTGTGTAGGCGATCCCTCACACTTCCAGTGAGACTATTTACCCCACTACCCACACAGCACTGATCGGTAAGTGTAAAGTAGTTGGTAACCGGGTAAGTGGCCTACTATTGTCCGCCCCCGGCCCGTTCATTAATAATTATAAATATGTTAAGTATATGTGTGTTTAAATACTTAGAGTTTAAAAACTTTATGTCACTTTTAAAATGATAAAGTACTTTTAAATTATTTTATTGAATTACATTTTTAGCTGAATAAATAAATATATATAGTTGTCTAATATTTGATTTGAACTTGTGAATCCATCTTATTCTTCTTACTGACTTAATGGAAAACCGTTATCTGCAATAGTGTGCCACAGTAACTAAAAAAAAAAATAATAATAATAATAAATTGTTAGTGATGAATTCATAGAAATTAACTAAATTATTGCAAGCTGATGATCTTATATATTTTACCTTAAAATAAAACACCTATAAATTTACTGAAAATTGAATACCACAACATTCGACAATGTATTGATGGAATTAGTTTAGACTGATTGACTACAATAATATAATACACCAAATTTGACGTTGGTAGAAGTGTAGTTGTAGACAATAACAAATATCAATTTAAGTTGAGATAGTCCATATTAATATTGAACATACTGAAACATATAATTAAAATAAATTAAATAAGTTTCTTAGATACTTAAATAATCATATGGTTAAGCAACAAATATCAGTATACACATATATTTTTTATAATTATACAAGTATGATAATTTTTAAGTTAAACGTTAAGTTTTAGGTAACGCATTATAATTAAACATATTAAGTATGATAAACATAAGTAATCCAAAAAATGTATTATGTAAAAACATTTTATATGTTCATGAATAATAAAAAAAGATTAATTATATTTTTCTAATAAAAAAATGTACTTATACAATACACCTATATCAATAAATACATTATCTTACCTATTATTGATTCAGTAAACGATGATTGAAGATTCAATTTTTTCATAAAAAATTTTATATTTTTTCTTTGAATTCAGATACCAATATGTTAAAACACAAAACTACACATTTATAAGTTTCTCAGAACAAAGACATAATACTGAAAAAATAAAAGTTTTAATTAAAATATCATCAAGCATAATTCAAAATATAATAATATTTATTTTAAATAACATATTATTATTATAAGTACCTTTAATTTTGATATTTGATGTGCATACATTTTATAAGTAAGGTTTAAGGTTTTATAGACTTGTCACTTGAGCAAAACTCCATCTTGGTATTCACATTGATTATGGATATTTAATATCAATGTTTTTATTTAAAACACAATAAATGTTGACAAGTTCATAGATCTAGACTCGAATGTAATTTTCAATGTTATGTAATGATACACAAACACGTAATCAATGATGAAGAAGGTATATCGTTTACGGATGTACAATATACCTCCTTTTTGGAAGGAAGGTGTAATGGGTTGCTACAACTAACTAAATAACCGATTTCTCCTCGAACGTTAATAATGCACGACCTAAATGGGTTTTTCTCTACTTTGTAGCCCAAAGGGTAAAACAACGTAATAAATTGTAAAATCCTATTATAAATTGTAATAACCAATGTATTCATACAACTATAAGAAATCGTGTACTCTGTACCTAGCCAAAGGGTAAAAACCATGGCATAAATTGTAAACTCCAATTATAAATTGTAAAAACCGATTTATTTATACACTATAGAAATCATATACTTTGTACAAAAAGAGATTGTAAAAACACACGAATAAGCCATTTTAATAAATCAACTATCCGACAATGTTCCACAATTAACAACGAACAGCTCAGCCATTCACCCGCAACCCGGACTCGAGGATTGGCCATTGCACCACTTGGGAGAGGTCAACGAGCCGCCAAAGGACGACTCCTTCCACGACGATCGGACGGCCATTTGACGTAAATACGAGCCGCCTCGCCATGCGATCCTCAGAAGTGTTTTGGCTGCGTATTTTGATACCTGCAACAATAACATTCACGATTACTGTTTTGTACACTAAACTTATACACGTTGAAATTACAAAATACTTACTTTATTTTTGTCTTTGAGAGTTTCTTTTCATTTTTAAAACCTTCAATACCATCTTCAACCTTTTGTGTACAAGTACTCAAAGGCCACGAACTTGCGAGGAACTTTACACTGGCGCAGATGCGGTACGATTGTCAAAAGCGGGACTGATTTCAACATCACACCGAAGACCAATTGAAGAGTTCCAGCCTTCTTGATCTTCAACACGACCAGACGACTCATCATGAACGCTCTATTGTGAGTAATCTATAATATAAGAATATAAGATAAGTTAATTAAGTTGATTGTATGAGTAATAATAAGCAGTTAGGCACTTCTCATGTTAAGGTAGAATTAGATTTATCTGAAGTTACGTTAGAATCTGATGAAATTAATTTGATTAATTTAGACGAAAGTAACGGTAGTTCTATTATTATTAATCAGGAATCTGAAACTGACCCGATAGACCTTTTAAACAGAACATTTAGGGAAGCAGATAGGCGACTCACTAGGAGTACACGAGGTGTAGTGCATGTTGAACTACAACCAGTTGGAAAACAAAATCTAAGGTAAAAGAAATTAACACAACAGCTACGGCTAATACACCAGAAATAGAAACTAATCAATCAATGATGTCTTCAACTCCCACGTTAAGTTTAACTGACGCGTTACATTTAACTCCTAAATATTCCGGTGAAACGGATATTTATCAATTTTTAAATGCATGTGAGGCAATAATTAATTCAGTTAGTGCCGATCAAATACCGCTTTTGTTAAAAATGGTTATAAGCACCAAGCTTACGGGCCGTGCGTTTAATTGTACTAAATATAAAACTTTGGCATCTTGGGAGGAGTTGAAAAAATCATTGCTTGACGCGTTTGAAACACCTTTTGCAGCGGCTAACTTACAAATTCAATTAAATATAATAAGAATGAACAAAAATGAAACAGTTAATAGTTATAATGAACGGGTAGATGAAGTTTATCAAAAATTATGTAACGCTTTAGCTGCAGGAAAATCGAAGGAAGACGCGAAAATTATAAACGAAAATGTAAAAACACAGGCTCTGGTTAGTTATATTAATGGGTTAAATGATCAACTTAAATTTGAAGTTAAAACTAAAAATCCTCTTACACTTGATAGTGCTATGCAAACCGCAGTCCTAGCTGAAAAGGACTTGATCACTTACAGAGGGGTACAGGATATGTTTAAATCGCAAAACTCAGGGAATAATTTTAATACGGGTCAAAACAACAACGGGAATAGGAGTTTTCAGTCACCAAGGAATAATGGCAATAATAATAATAATCGGGGTAACAATTTTAATGGTAATCGTCCTAATGTAGATAATAGACGTTGCAGGATTTGCAATCAAGTAGGTCATTTATCCTATAATTGTAGATTAAACACTAACAATGGCAATGATAATAATAGACCTCCACCTCAGCAAAATAGGCAAAATACTAATTATCAATCGGGAAATTTTAATTCGAATAATGCGGGTCCCATGGTTTGTAATTATTGTGGCAAAATCGGGCACGGGGAGTCTGTTTGCTATAAAAGGGAAAATGACGCGAAACGTGCAAATATGGGAGGCGCCGCGATTAAAACAGAAAATTTTCTAGAACCGACCGCGAACCACGGGGCGCGCGTCGTCAGACAAATAGCCGTGGAATCGCAGACTGTTTCAGAATCACTCGAACGACAATGATTAATAAACATATTTTTTGTAATAGTAACGCTAGCAAAAACGATAATTTTCAATTGCTAGTCGATACTGGCTCTCAGATTAATATTTTAAAAATTAGCACGGTAAAAGATGATATTATGGTTAACGAATTGAATAAAGTCTATCTTAAGGGAATTCATGAAAAAATTATACCAACTTATGGTACTATAGTTATTCCGATAATAATTAATAATAAGGAAATATACACAGAATTTAATTTAGTAGGTAACAATTGTATAATGCAGGAAGATGGTATTTTGGGGGAAAAATTCCTTACTGAAAATCACACGGTGATAGATATGGGTAATAATGTTCTTTTGATAAATGATAATGATGATGATGATGATGTTTTAAGTAGAAATGGTAAGCAAAATGGGAAAAATGATATTTTAAAAAATGAAAAAGAATTAGGTATAGTTGGGAATAATAAAGTATTAGGTGAAGAAAGCTTGAAAATGGATAGCAATGTAATTGGGGAAAATATGTTAGGTGAAACAGATACTAAGAGTATTTTAATGGTTAGTGGGGAGCAAATAATTGATGAGTGTATAGTCACTCTAGTCAATGGGAGTATAATTAATGAAAATGTAGTTGATGGGAATATAGCCAGTAGGAATAGATTAAGTGAGGATATAGTTGAATTCCCCTTAGCAGAAAAAACTGGAAAAATTAATTATAATGATAATGGGTTACGTCAGAGTGTATCATGTTCGCATCAAGCGGCGAATATTATTGAACACCCTGCCATAGGTAGAAACGAAAAGGATATGAATATTAGTTATGATGAAATAAATGACAAATGTAGTAAAATAGGTTTAAATGCGAATGACGCAAGGGAAATAAATGTAGAAAACACGACATTGGAATGTATTGGGTCACAGAACAAGGATTTAGTCGATATAGACGGGGCTCATAATGTTATAAATGTAAATGAATTGGTAAAAAATATATGTAATAAATTACATTTAGATGACAGGGTAATAAGAAACATAGGTAACATGAAACTAAACGAAACGGGAAATGGGCAGGTAGCCAAGAATAATGATGTAATACTACAACCGAGGTCAGAGACGGTCATAACGGTACCAATCACTGATCTGGACGGGCAGGAGATATTAGTGCATAAACAGGAATTAATTAAAGACGTATATTGTAGTAGCGCGATTTCTCTTGTCAAGGACGGTGGGTTTATAGTAGGACTATTAAATATCGCAGAAACCGAGTCACGTTTAAGTAGTCACGATTTAAGTAAAATAACTTACGAAGGACAAAACAATTATAGTATTTATAATATTAATGTAGAAAATAACGAAGAAGACAGGGTCAATAAGATTAAAACATTAATTAGGAGCGATCATATGAACGCTGAAGAAAAAGAATCTATTCTAGAAATATGTGGGGATTTTTCAGATATATTTTATTTAGAGGGAGATAAATTATCTTGTACTAATACAATAGAACACGAAATTAGAATAAAACCGGATCAAAAGCCCGTGTACTTAAGGCCATATAGATTGCCTTTCGCGCAGCAAGAAGAAATAAGTAGACAGGTATCGCAAATGGAAAAGGACGGGATAATACAGGAAAGCTTCTCTCCTTGGAATTCACCACTTTTGTTAGTAAAGAAAAAGTTAGACGCTAGTGGGATTCAAAAGTACCGTATAGTAGTTGATTTTCGGGGGTTAAATGCTGTTACATTAGATGAATTTTATCCGATACCTAATATTACCGAGATACTTGACCAATTAGGCCGAAGTCAGATTTTTAGCGTCATAGATTTAGCATCGGGGTTTTATCAAATTCCCTTATCAGAAGCGTCACGGGAACTCACTGGATTCACCGTAATGAACTCCAGACACGGAGCTCGTCATATGATTTTCAATCGTGCAGTTATGGGGCTTAAAGGAAGCCCTTTGACCTTTTCACGTCTTATGGCTACAGTACTATCAGGACTAATAGGACTTAAAGCACTACTGTACATGGATGACGTCATCGTGTATTCAAGCACGCTTAGTGAGCATAACTCTAAGTTACGTGACGTTTTCGATCGGTTAAGACAGCATAATTTAAAAATTCAACCGGATAAATGTCATTTTATTCAAAGGGAATGTGTTTTCCTAGGGCACGTTGTTTCAGCTGACGGTATTCGTCCGGACAAATCGAAAGTCCAGGCGGTTTTAAATTTTCCTGTCCCTAGAACACCAAAAGACATTAAAAGCTTTCTTGGTCTCTCAGGTTTTTATAGAAAATTTATTGATAATTATAGTAGTATTGCGAAACCATTAACTAATCTATTAAGAAAGGGGGTA